GGCCGGTCGTTCTGTGCACACAGCTTGGCAGGACCCGGCGGGACGGGGCAGACAGCAGCGGTCCTCGGGTGGGCCGCTGCAGCCCAGCCCAGCCCTGGGCCTGCGAGTACGCTGGGAGAGACCGGAGCCGGCTGCGCAGCCGCCCGAGCAGGGACCAGCAGTGACCCAGCATCGTGGGTCCCGCAGGGAAGAGAAACCGGCAGCCAGCGCACCACCTGTGATGTTGCGTCCCCACCTGTTCCTCAGGTGTCTTGTGGCCTTAGCGACATCGTGGACGGCTCTGACCCCAGCAGTAAAGGGGCCGGGCTGCGGGTCTGCCAGGCAAGCGAGGACTTCTCGAGCCTGTCCCCTGTCGAGGAAAGCTGGGGAGCCCCACCCCGCTCAGGGTGCCGCCGCCGAGGGCCACAGAGGCGCATGCCCAACTGGGCAGCGCCTACCGGAATCCACAACCACCGCAGCTCTCCTGAACTGTAGACACAGCCCAGAGGGAAGGGAGAGGCTGCAGACCAGGGCTGGAAACTCGACCTTGTGCCCCAGACGACCTCTAGCAAAGCTGGACTGGGGGTCACGCCCACGCCTGGCGGGCAGCTCCCTGCAGCGCACCCCCTCTGCGCCAGAGTCCAGGCCCGACTGGAGAGGAGCCCCAGGGAGGCGACGCCGTTGCCTGTCCAAGACATTCTGTGTTTCTGCTAGATAGAGAGGGGTGGGAACTGTTAGGAAGTTCCAAAAACGTTCTGAGGCCGAGATTTACAAGACAGATCCACGATCTACAACACGACCAGAGTCCAGAACCAAGTCTTGACCTGGGAAAGGCTCAGGCGGATGCGGCGCCCCTCCCCAGGCTGCACAGTCTGTGGGTTTCTCACCTTTCACCAGCTCCACCCCCCCACACACCTGCCCTAAGGGCCTGCAAGGTGACCACCTCCCCCCCCATAGGTGACTGATTCTGCTTGTGTAAGTTCTGTCACTCCCGGGGACTGGCCCGCTAAGAGGCCACTGGGCAGCTCAGCCAAAGCTGCTGCTGGATCTCAGCAGGCTGCTATGGGCTGGCGCTGGCCTGGGCAGGTGTGGGCCTCACTGAGCAGTGTCTCCCTGGTTAAGTGGAGTTTCCGGAGACACAGGGCCACCTTGTGCCTGGGACATGAGTTTTTGGGGGGAAGCGAGTGAAGTGTGGATTTGCCAAAAGTCAGGTTTAGGTTTTTGACACCTTATAAAGACAGACTGGGCCCTCCCTGGTGGCGCAGTGGGTTACAGCACAACACTGAGAAGCTAGAGCCACTTCCGCATGAGTTCGAACCCCGCCTGCCCCGGAGGTGACCACATGGCGTGGCAGACCTCTCCTGACCCGCCCTCAGCAGTGTACTTCATCGATCTGCCTGTTCTGCTCCCCACTCTGTCTCTGGTGAAGTCTCGCACTGTGCCTGAGCCTCTGGCCTGTACCCCATTTGTATGAACAAATAAATAAATCTTTAAAAAAAAAAAAAAGACAGACTGAAGAGTGGGCTTTACTTTATTAGGCAACAGTAGACATCCATCCATTCTAAGCCAGGAGGGTTCACACTTCCCAGAAACACTGTCTAATCTACCCTTCATCTGCTATCATCCCCGTCCTTCCTGTTTCAAAGCTCAGGGACGCAAGAACAAAGTCCCAGCAGCATCCCAAGAGCAAAAGTGACAAATTCCTAACTGGCAAATCTCTCCAAGGGAAGGCCGTCCTCACAGTCAACACTTCCTTCAAAATAACATTCTCGGCATTCAAAAGCTACTGTCTAGAACCCCAGATCTGCACAGAGTTTTTAAAAAACAGGAACTGGGAACTGACAAGTGGCTACATCTGTGGGGAGAGACTCAACTTCACACTCAAAAACCAAAACCCCACAAAAACAAGTTGTTCCCCTGACAACTACATTACCACTGCTCAGGAAGCAAAACCTAACGCTGGGTCCAGGCTTCACTCCCAACCTATGTTCCCTGACACTCTGTAGAAACAGACTACTTTCCCCTCACTGGAGCACTCAGAACTGGAGAAGCCCTGACCCTGACCTGAAATCAAAGCCCACAACGCCAAGGCGGAGGCCAGGTCTGCCAAGCCCAGGACCTGTTACTCTGGCAACTTGGGGTAAAGGCACTGGAGCCCCACAATGTGGCCACAAGACCACCTTCCACCCAACAGGCTTGGCTTTCTCTGAGGCTCACCCAGAGCCACGAGCCAGACAGTCTTCTAGTTGACACGAACGTCACGTCCCTGTCCTACCAAAGACCCAAGCGTCCGACTCCCTACACCTGTGCAGTTCTCAGGGTAGAGCTGACACTAAGGAAGCTACCCTGGCCACCAGACAGAAACCCCAAAGGGCATCTTCTAACAGGAGCTTTTAAAGGGACATCCCCGTTTGGGGGCAGCCTGGTGATTCCCTCCCTGGGGCCAGACCCTCGTGTTCTCTTGCTGCGTCAGTAAACTTTCTCCTTCATGTGAGTTCTCTGATGTGTAATAAAATTGGAGCTATTGCTAAAGCCTTTGCCACACTCAGGGCATTTGTAGGGCTTCTCTCCCGTGTGGATGCGCTGGTGGATAATCAGAACTGAATTCCAGCTGAAGCCCTTCCCACACTCGGGACACCTGTAGGGCTTATCTCCCAGGTGGGCCCGCTGGTGCATGACTAAAATGGAGCCCCGGCTGAAACTTTTACCACACATGAGGCATTTGTAGGGCTTCTCACCCGTGTGAGTCCGCTGGTGCACCACCAGCTGCGAGCGCTGGCTGAAGCATTTCCCACATTCGCCACATTTGTAGGGCTTCTCTCCCGTGTGGATCCTCTGGTGCTTGATGAGGTTGGAGCTCCAGCTGAAGCTCTCTCCGCATGTCAGGCACTCGTAGGGCTTCTCTCCCGTGTGCATGCCCTGGTGAGCAATCAGGCTGGAGCTCTGGCTGAAGCTCTTCCCACATTCCCCACACTTATAGGGCTTTTCCACCATGTGGGTTCGCCGGTGTGTGGCCAGATTGGAGCTGCGACTAAAGCTTTTCCCACACTCACCGCACTGGTAGGGCTTCTCTCCCGTGTGGGTTCTCCGGTGGGTGATGAGGGCCGAGCTCTGGCTGAACCTCTGCCCACAGTCAGGGCACTTGTACGGCTTCTCTCCGGTGTGGACCCGCTGGTGTCGGATCAGGTTGGAGTTGTAGCTGAAGCTTTCCCCACACTCTTTACACTCGTAGGGCTTTTCCCCCGTGTGGATCCCCTGGTGTGTATTGAGGCTGGACCGGTTACCAAAGCTCTTTCCACACTCGGGGCACGAGTAGGGCTTCTCTCCCGTGTGGGTGCGCTGGTGAGCAATCAGGTTAGGGCTCCTGCTGAAACTCTTGCCGCACTCTGCACACTGGAAAGGTTTCTCCCCAGTGTGGATCCTCTGGTGGGTTATGAGGTTTGCACTCCTACTAAAGCTTTTCCCACAATCCCTGCATTTATACGGTTTCTCCCCAGTGTGAGTAGTCTGGTGTCTACTGAAGTTGGAGCCATCACTAAAGCTTTTTCCACACTCATCACACTTGTAATACTTCTCTCCCGTGTGGGTCCGCTCGTGAGTGATGAGGTGGGACTTGCGGCTGAAGGTTTTCCCACACTGGGGGCATTCATAGGGCTTCTCACCCAGATAGGTGCCCTGGATGCCAATGAGCTGCCCGACTTCCCTGCCCTGGGAGCGTATCTCCCTGCGGCCCCCCCCAGGGCTGTTTCCCTGGCGGCCTCTCGCACTGCAGTCTCTCTCCAGGTCAGCATCCCAGTCAGACCGCTGGGCGCCTTCCCCTTCAGGCACGTCCAAGAACATCTCATGGGGCTCAGTGTCCTCAAATGGATCTTGATTACAGCTCTCCCCATTTTCACTCTGGATTTCAAAATCTGAAATAATGAAGAAAAGGGTTAACTTTACATTTAATTTCCTGTGATGATGAAAAAAGGGAAATTCAAAAAGTTAAAAGTTCAGTGAAAATAAAGAGGCTGGGCCTCCCTGGTGGCACAGCAGCGCTTCAGTAACATCCACCCGGGAGGTGACCCCTCCTGTCTCCCTGCTGTCCCCTCAGCAGTGGACTTCGTCCACCTGCCTGTTCTGCTCCCCGCTCTGTCTCTGGTGAATCCTCTTACCGCGCCTGCGCCTCTGGCCTGCACCCCAGTTCTATATGCATAAATAAATAAATCTTTAAAAAATAAAACAGAGGCTAAAGAATCCTCAGCATTTTAAAGTCAGGTTTGTTTCCTTCTAGTCCATCACCCACTTGCCCGGCATCAGACCCTTGTGCTCATCACCTGGGATTTCTAAGTCTTAAAAGATTCGGGTCTGTGTCTACCTCCTCTCCACTGGGTAAGGAGGCACACTGACCCCCACATTTACCACAGCGTCTGATGCCCAGAGGGCACTCAGATAAATGTGATGAGCACATCCATGTTTTTGTCTTCCTAAAACTCTTCTCAAAAGGAACTCATATTATATAACAGTCTCGTGTTAAAACATGTCTGGCTCTCCCTGGGGACGTGATGGGCTAAAGCACAGCCCTAAGCAGCTGGCCTGGCCGCAGCCGCTTCAGCGCGAGTCCATCTCCGGCCAGGGAGGGACCCACAGGGCGCAGCAGACCCTCCTGTCTCCCCAATGCTTCCTCAGCTGTGGGTTCCAGAGGAGCCACCTGTGCTGCTCCCCACTGTCTCTTGTGATCCTCTCACGGCCCCCACCTCTGGCCTGACAGTCAGGAGTGCACCAGGAGCCCCCGGCAGAGGGGAGATGATGGCCCTTGTTCCACCTGTCCTCGGAAGACTGACTGCTGCGCCAAGGCCAGCCTGGACACGTGACAGCCAGTCGTGGTACAGTGACGTTTAGCGCCGTCTGGGGGCTGCGCAAGGCACCTGTCCAGAGCCGAGAATCATGACTTTAAGGGCAGCGCCTTCCTCACCCGCCACCCTCACCTCATTAAGGAAAGCACGTCCCTGCACGCTGCTGCTCACGGGGCGCTTCCTGGGGAAGGAAGCCCCAATCCAAGCAGGCAGCGTGGCCAGGGCTGGCGGGCGACAGCGTGGCTGTGACACCGAGCCCCACCTGCCCCAGCCTGGCAGCGCCCTCCGTGCGGCAAGTGCCCTGCAGGGCGGCAGATCACAGCCTCCCCAGTGGCAGGACCCACGCGGATCTGACGACTCCCCGCGACTCAGATGCTGGCTGGGAAGGGCCGCGCTTGCAGCAAAGGCCCTGCGCCGGGTTTCGAATCTTGCTGCCTCTTAGAACCGCCTAGAAGCTCTGCGACTTCTTTGTCTGGGCCAAGCCCACACATCAGAGGGGCTCCGGGCCCAGGTGACGCCCAAGTGCCCAAGTTTGGGAGCAGAGGCACTGCGGCCTGCCGGCCCAGGGCGGGGATGTGGGTCACCTTCGGGGCTTGGCAACCTGCGCGCTGGGCTCCCCCCCCCCCAAAGCTCAGCAGGTCAGGGGCCAGGCCCAGCAACCTCGTTTCCAGGGGACACTGAGTCAGCCGGTCCAGGAAGCACACACAGGGCTCGTGGCCGGAGGAGCCGGGAGCCAGGACTTGATCCGTTCTGAGCGCCTCTGTCGCCCTTTATGCCCCTCGGAAGCCGAATGGGCTCAGCGGGGGCTGGGGCCCCTGCGGCCAGTGTCTTCGGGGGGAGAACTTCCCTTCCTGGCGGGGCAGGTGATGGCCGGCCCACTGTCTGTCACCGCGGGGCTCCACTGCCGGCACCCCAGCGCCAGGCCCCACTTTGGGGAGAGGCCCAGGCCCGGGTGGTGCTGCTCTGCCCTCACAGGCCTCTGTGGCGTCTTTCACCC